TTTGTTACTGATTGTTTTTTTGCATCAGAAAAAGTGCTGTTATATTTTGGTATATATGTGGACTTTCTTTTTATCCAGTTCCTTGGGATAAAAACCTAGTAGTGGAATCTCTGGATAAAAGAATATTGCCATTTTAATTACTTTATTTCCATAATTTCAAATTTCTTTCCAAACGCAGCTCCAGCAACAAAGGCACCACTAACTCCACATATTTTCACTCTCTGTTCTCCATTCCTGGAGTCCTTTCTCCCTCTTTACACTGGCCTCCATGTATTCTTGATTCTCCTAATAGTTCCTTCCCTTCCATATTTTGTATATATTTTCTATGTATATTTTTTTATGTTACCTGTGCACATGCTATCTCCCTTTCCACCTCCACCTCAAAATGTAAGGTCTCTGAGGATATGGACTGTTTTATCTTTGCTGTTATATTCACATCATAGTGTATGGCAGATAAAGTGCTTACTAAATTATTGAATGAATGAATGAATATGAAGAGAAGTAACTTGAAGTAATGTTGGAAAGTTAGGCTGGAGTACTATTGTGGAGGACCTCAGATGACAAGCTAAGAAATGGACGTCTTATAGGCAATAGAAATATTTTTGAGTTTGAGAGTGACTGGATCATTTTAAAATTATCTTTGTAACCCTACTGCCTTGCAGAGAGGAAGAAGGTTATTTTCATAGCTATGTGGGAGGGTTGGATTGGAGGACTGGAGATGAGAGAGATGAAAGAAAGGGAGACTAGTTAGGGGGACTTTACAATATGGGAAGGGGCATCAGGAGTGTAGGAACACAGGGTAGACACAAGAAAGAGGGTTGCAGAGGTAGAATTGAAAGTATTTGACAACTGATGATGTGAGGATTGGGGGATAAAGAAGAGTCAGTTAAGGATCTCTTATCTACAGAAAAAACTTGAAATCTGTACTCAAAATCTTCCAGAATCAGCCACCCAAACCCTTTCCTAACCAGTGGCTCAGAATAAGTACTTAATAAAGGCTTTTTTCATTCATTCCTTTGTAATGGGGGATTAGCCAATGGGTATCCACCCCTAAGAACTTACTTTGCTGCGTCTGATGACTCTTTCCAGAAATGCATGATAGAAGGGCTTTTTCCTTCCCCCATTCAGAGCACATGCAGCTATCCTAACTATTTCCGGTCAGCTTAATGTGCAGAGACCAAAGCCCTTTTAATTGATTGCTGAGCCAGAACTGAGTGTGCATGTAAAAGCTTTAACAGGGGAAATCTCTCTCTCTTTTCTAATGGCCATGGAGAGAACCTTCTGGTAGGTAGAGAGGGAATACCAGCTGCTGCTGCCTTATCTCCCTACACAGGGCCTCCACGTGGCCATAAATGCGTGGTCACCTCTGTTTCTTCTGTTGCTGTCACTGTGTTTATTCTGCCTTGATCTTAAGGGAATGAGTATTAGAGATGGAACCAACTGGTTATGACCTTGCAAACTGCAAAATGTGTGAAGAGCCACCAAAGGTCCAACAATTAGAGTTCATGGTAGAACCTGTTGGTAAGCTAAGTCCAATGAGAGCCAACCCTTAACCAACTTGCTTGACTTGGTGCACAGCAATGAAACAACTTGGCAGCGTACCTTATGTCCTTTAAGCAAGGGAGGGACTCATCCAGCTGCTCTGCCACACCCAGAAGGCAACTTGGTAGGTAGAACGTTGGTAGTCAGTCAGCATTTTAAATCTGAATCCATTCTCCCCAAGGACTGAAGTGGTAATGAAAACTTTGTTGTATGATTGTTCTTACAGGACCTTCTCAGTAAACATTTCTTTGTAAAATTTAATTGATGTTAATTGATTAATTCTGAGGACAGAAGAAGTTGATCAAATAGATATTGGGGAAGATGATAACCAGTCAAATGATATCATTTGCCACCAGCACCTCTGCTTGGTTTAGACTCCATCATCATCATTGTTATGCCCCCTTTTTAGATTCCTTTTTTATATTGTCTTCCTGAATTAGATTGTAGGGCAGTTAGGTGGTAAAGTAGGCCTGGAGTCAGGAAGACTCATCTTCCTGAGTTTAAATCTGGCCTCAGACACTTAATAGCTTCGAAAGCCTCAGTGTTTGCCTCAGTTTCCTCTTCTGTAAAATGAGCTGGAGAAGGAAATGGCAAACCACTCAAGTATCTTTGCCAAGAAAACCCCAAACGAAGTCATAAAGAGTCTGACATAACTGAAAATTAGATTGTAAGTTGCTTGAAGGCAGAAACTTTCTTTTTCTCATTTGTATACCCAGTTTGCCTGGTACGTAGTAGGTACTTAATAAATGTTTATCATATCATATATTGGGGCACCACAGTAGACATGGGCTTGTGAGTGATGATACAAGAGAATTCCCAAATCTCTTGGGTAATCCCTGGAACTCTGAGGTGGCAGAAGAAGTATCTTTGCTCTGGGGAGTGCCCTCTCATTTAAGTTGGGGGTTTCTTTGGCAGATTGAGTGTATGCTACACGTTAAATATTCATTCATTCAGGAAGCTAAGAGTTTAGAAAGATTAGAGCAGAGCTAAAAGAGATCTATCAGGGAAGTCTCAAGAAAAGTATGAAGAGGTTGATAGCTAACTGTCAAATATGGCAGGTTTGAGGATGAAGACTGAGTGAAGGCCATAGAATTTAGTAAGAGGTCATTGGTGACCTCTGAGAGCAATTTCAGTTAAGTAATGAGTCAGAAGCCAGGTTGTAAAGAGTCATGGAGTCAGTGAGTTGAGAGGGAATATAGAAAGTGAATGTAGATTTTCCTTTTTAGAAGTCTGAGTAAAATTCAATGATCACAAGCTTACTATGTTCAAGGCATTGCGCTAGGTGCTGGGGATTCAGAGGAAAAAAATCTTTGCTCTCTCTCAAGAATCTTATATTTCTATTGGGGTGAGGTATGTCATATATCCAGTTGTGTCCGATTCTTTGTGCCCCTATTTGGGGTTTTCTTTAGCAAAGATACTGAAGTGGTTTTCCATTTCCTTCTCCAGGTCATTTTACAGGTGCATAAACTGAGGCAAACAGGGTCAAGTGATTTACTCAGAGTCACACAACTAAGAAGTTAGTGTCTGAGGCCAGATTTGTGCCACCTAGCTGTCCACCCCCCCCCCATACAGACAACAATAATAGAAGGTGGGGAGATTAATAATAGAAAGTGAGAAAGTTTAGACAAAGAAAACTAACAAGATTTGAGAGATATGAGAGACAGGATGATAACATAGAAGATGCTAGGATTGAGAGAGGTTTTATTTATTTATATTTTTAAGTAGGGGAAACCTAAGGAGCTAGTTCATTCACTGCCCTCTTCAAATGTTTGGTGTCACTGAGTTGAAACTCAAGGAAGGATAGGATGGAGGTAAAGAGACAAACGAAGTCGAGGTGCTCATCATGCAGTGTTGAATGAGCAGATGGCAAAATGAAAAAGTGGGACAATTATGGTCTTGGACTGAAACTGCAAAGTAAGGAAACTAATTTCACAAGCCACTGAGAAAAATTCTTCTTATTACTTAACAGTCATACCTGAGGTCTCCTGGGGTAGTGCAAAAGAGCCCTTCACTTGCTTTGAGCTTAGCGCTGAGATTTACTAATTAGTTGATGTCTCAGTCTTACTTAGAACCTCATTGTCCTTTACTGGAAAATGGGTTAGCTAATACAGCCTTGTGTTGGCTTCAAGAATCAGGACTGAATTGTGTTCAGATGCTACAGTGGAATCACTATACCTGTCACTTAGTTGACCTTAAACAAATGCTTGTTGATTGATCGACCTACTGATCTTATGAGTCCATGAAATTTACCCCAAGTTGTAGCATGTATTCAGGTGCCTAAACTCGATCTAACTGTAAAATATTGTGAACATCACTGCAGTGAAGCTCTTTGATCTGTAAGCATTGCCAAACCTTTGGTGAAAAGCAAAATAATCTGACTTCGTAAATGCAGCTAGACCCCTCCCTTACTGGAGCATTAAAGTTTTTGTGCAAACTAAGTTTGAATTCAACTTTGGGGTTCCGATATCCTCCTCAAGTTTGTTTAAAAGACAATCTATAATAAAAAGAAACTGCATGCTGTATAATTATAATGACCAAACTTGGCCCTGGAGAAGAGTTAAGAAAACAAACCTTTCTTCTTTCATTGCAAAAGTAGGGGTTGGGGGGCATGGGTGTGGTAATAGTTGGTCTACTCTCGGGTTGGTTTTGCAGATGGCTCTCACCCCCACCTTTCTCTTTAAATCTTTGTTATACCGGATAGCTTGCTGAATCGGAGGGGGGAAGGGATATCTTCAGAAATCGATGTAAAAACATAAGGCGTCAGTTTTTAAATGTGTGTGAGTATATGGGGGGTGTAGGAGGGGGATCTCATTTGTGGATAAGTTCCCGACCGGTGCTGCAGGGCTAAGCCGGGAGGGTTGACTTGCAGAGCTCGCCCCGCCTCATACTTAGCTGGCTGAGTGTCAGCCCAGGCGGGGCCAGAGGAGGGAAAAGTAGAGGAGGAGGGAGAGCAGAGGAGAAAGGGAGGGGAGGAAATCGGACGAAGCTAGTTGGCTAGGGAGGCTGGCCGGCTGGCCGGCAGGGAGGGAGGAAGGGGAGGGAAGGGGAGGAGAGAACAGAAAAGAAGCCGAAGTAAAAAAAGGGAAGAGTGTGCTGGCGCGCGAGGGAGCTGCAGTATAGAGCTGGTCCTGCAGCTACAGAAGTTGGGTCCCGGGGTGCAGAGCCAGCCCACTCACCTCTACTCCCCGCGAGGTCCTTGCTCAGGGCCAGGCCTGGCCTGCTGGAGAAGACTGAGCCGTAATAGCCCGCAGCACTATAATTTAGCCCGGCTTGCCCCGCGGGTGCTGAGGGGTGGGCGGCGGCGGCGGCGGAGGCTGAGTGAGTGGTGCCGTGACTCGTGCCCTCCATGCAACAGGGCAGCCTTAGGAAGGGATGGTAGCAGCTGAGCCCGGGCCATTGCAAACATAGCAGCAGCGGCAGCGGCGGCGGCAGCGGCAGCACCCTTCCCCCTCCTTTGCCTCGGTCGGGGTTGCGAGTTTGCGGGGTCCCGTGCGGCGGGAATAAAGCTTCGTCTGCCTGGACTGGTCCTCTGCACTTCGGCTCTGGCAGCCCAGTCCCAAACCCCCAGTCCCAAGAGCAGGCACAGCTCGGCTCTCCAGCTCCGCTGTTGAGAGCGCGTCCGGGTCTCTCACTGTGGTCGGCGTGCCCCCCCATCCCCCCGCTGGAGCCCTCTCTAACCCAGTCCAGCCGGGCCCCGGGAGCCGGGCACCCCGGGTCGTCCCTGTCGCGCCCCTCACCATGTTCCGAAGACTGTGGCCTTTTTCTGCCTGCCTCCTGGTGTTCTGCACCCTCCTGCCCCAGAGCCCAGGTAAGCCCCAGCTGCAGCCCAGGAGCTGCAAGCAGAAACTTTGCAGGGCAAAGCTCGGGCCCTAGGGCTCTGGGAGCGAGGTTAAGGAATAAGTGGGGGGTGGGGGTGGGAGAAAGAGGCTCTGGGACTAAGAGCATCTTCTTGTTGCCTTTAGGTGGGAGGGTGGGGGCGGGAAACGGGTTGAATTGTTTGCCACTTCTGTAGCGCGCAGAATTTGGTGGTTATAGCGCAGCTGTGCAGCCCCAGCCAGAGTGGATGTTGTCCTGGCTTTCCTCTCCTCTGGAGAAGCCTTTTCTTCCTGCGTAAACAGCGACTTCATCTGTTGACTGAGCCCGTGGTGTGTACTCGGAGGTGCCAACAGAGGCAGAAAAAGGAGAGTGAGCGAGAGGGAACTGGGCTTCTCCATACCCTCGGGCACAAAAGAAGTGTCTGTGGATGGATGTGGGCAGAGCTTTGGGGGAGTGTGCGAGCCATGCGGACGATGTCCTTGGCCAGGGGAAAGCTTATTGCCAGAAGTCTGAGTTTTCCTTGTGAACCGGAGGGCGGAGCCTGTAAACTCAGGCAGGAGTTGTCTCCCATAGCAATATCCAAGAAACTTTGAATGTCCGATCTGGAAGGGACCTGGAGGTAGTGGAGCCCAACCCTCTTCATTTTACTGACGAGGAAGCTTAGAGCTTCGACTGTCACGGAATAGGAACCAGGTCACAGGCCATGCTCCCTATGCCCTGCTACCCAACCTTATGTTCATATCAAGAAGAGAGAAGCCCCGGGTTTAAAGTAGCCAGCCACCCACCAGCTCTCTGCATACACTTTACTTATCTGTATCATGGGGACTACTCTCAGGGAATCCAGGGAAGCGCCCATTTAGTCTGACTTTGGAAGGCGTGTGTGTGTGTGTGTGTGTGTGTGTGTGTGTGTGTGTGTGTGTGTG